ATCTATAGATTAGAGTTTCCCGATCGATTTCCACAATCATCTCACACTCTCAGTGTCACTGTTTATAGTCCCCAAACTGGCATCCTCTTTCAGCTGCGAAACCGTGGCAGGATCTTCCAAGAAGATACACATGTCGGATTTTCAGGCTTTCACATAGAACGATAACAGACCATCTATTTAAATATGCACATAAATGGCTTTGGCAATAAAATCATTGACAAGTGCTGTAGAATAGTGAAAATGATATTTAAGTATTGGCAATGATTTTTTGCTTGAAGTTCTTGGACCATGTTTTTCGCACAGAAGCCGACGGAAGTTCCGACCAGAAGTTCGTCGTCACTTTCTAAAAAAAAAAAAAAATCAAACTTTGCCTGATTTTTGCCCAATATCAGTGATGGGTCCCCTTAAGTGCCTATCTTTGCTCTTTGTTCAAATTGACAGTGCATCATTCTCTTGTTCTCTCCAAACGGACATTATCTCGCTTCAGATTCATCAATAGATGCCTCGGACTTGGCCAACTCGTCAGCTTTTTCTTTGCCGAAACTGGTCTTATGAGCCAATAATACGCAAATAGCGAGTTTACTTGTCAGTGCGGATGCAATATGCCACTTATGTGCTCTTTAAATATTCCGCTTCATTTCAGTTTGGTATCTAGCTAAGGTCTTAGTATTATGTCCTTTTTCACACGAAGCCAACTGTAGAATGTAGCCTTCAAATTGTTGAAATCAGTAAAAAACTCTCGTCAAAAAGTATATAAATTATGAAATCAAAACTCAATCATAATAAATCCTCATAAAACCTATTTCCTCTTGCTCTTAGTTCTTTTCTCAAATTTTGGTTTTTGGCCCTGCATGAAACGGCACCCCAAATGTAGGCAATGTTAAATAAACAATAAGTAACAAACTGTTGCCTACATTTAGGCTCAATTAAAAATCCATTTTTATATTCATAAAAAAACTAAACACGAAAATAGTTTTCTCTTTAGAGGAATTAAATAAAGTTATTTTGTATCCATAGGTTAAACAGCTGGACCACATTCAAATATACGTATGTGGTTATTGTTACTTGTGTACGAGTACATATATTCAGATAGTCAGAGTTGCAGAAATATTTAAAATCACTGCAGGTAAACTACATAGTTTTTTACTTCAAAGATAGTCAGCAGTGCGTTTAAATAAGCATCAACCACCATTTATAGTGCACAGAAGTCACGTGCCTCTGATACTGGCACTTATGGATGAAGAAAGTTAACCCTCAGCTTGCATGCATTTATAAAATATTTATTTCAATAGTGACGAAGAAACTATATTTAAATTTATGGGTACATTCATTGAGTACAAGTTGTGGTAGACTCATTTGTTCGGGCTAAAGTTTATTTTAATAAGAAAGATATTGATTTGGTAGGCGTATCAGATCTGGAACTTAAGACAAAAGGACGAGCTTGCGCTTTCGCCTTCATGGAAGAGTTTGAGCATGGCGCTCTCCATTTGAAAGCCCAACAGAGGAGAGTTATTCATCAAAGATACTAACTCGACTTGAAAACGTCTCAATAGTGGTGATAAGATCATGACAATAACTATAAGTCTTAGAACTATAAGCCTTCTTATAGCTTATCTTCTTTAGGGCAGGCACGCTGAGATGTTGAGCGTACCATCTAAGGAATTCCGCCAAAAATAGCAGACAAGCTATATCTGAAGGCTTAGGGCGATTCCCTTTCGAAGACACCACACTTTTGGGGAGTAGGCTGAAGTTTTTAGAGACGGTGACCTTCAAAAACTTGAACAAGCCACCTCCGTTGTAGGGTTTGAGCGTCAAAAAAGAAGCACTTTATAGCTAGAGATTACGAAATTCTGCCGCCTTCACCTCTTTTAGATACGAAAAGCAGTGGAAGCGGAAAGTGAAATATGTACGCGAACTTGTCTCTAATTCTCTCTGCTCGGGGTACCAGTCAAAGAAATTCACATAGGCAAATGCCCGCTTTCTTTCCGTCAACAGACCAAATTAAAAAGAAATCAACCGGGAGTTGCGGTTTCTCTTTATGCGACGTGTGAAAAGTAAACTTGACCGGACACTCTGAAGCAAACAAACCCTTTTTTACTGAAGCGTAAAAGGCACAAAAACAAACACACCAGACCAACCGTGGAGCAATGTGGCAAAGACAAAAATGCTTTATTTTATTCTCAATATGTGCGAGTACCGCTGACCAAAGGGAAGGAGCGTGATTTAGTGTGCAAAGCGTGTGAAGCACGTTGGAAAATATTTGATTTGATGTTTCCTTGATTTTAATTTTAATTTTGCTGTGGCTGTTGTAGTTGAGGTTCATTGTTGGCATTGTACTTTGTTTGTTGTTATTGATTTTTTTTTGCATGCTTTTGTGTCCGTTTGGCGGGCGATTGAGCAAAAGAAATGACTTACAATGTTTGGACTACACTTCAGAGTGATAGTAGATGAGGTAATCAAAACAGCTTCTACGAGTGTGAGACCCTCGATGCATCAATTAAAAGGAAATTAAAGCCACGGATGGTAGGTCACTCTTTTGATGACAATACCTCCAAAGGTTTTAAGGAGTGTTTCTTGATTAGGAGGGCGTCGATGTCCTCGAAACAAACGGGGCAAGAACGGAAACGTGTAGGTCCTATGATAAATACTACAGCGACTACATGAAAGACCGCAAACTTTTCGTGTGAGAGTGACTCTGTTGCCCCTTACAGCCATCTACACCGGTGGATGAACCTTTCGCGACAATCCTCATTGGATGATTGGCGTCAACTCCTTTACGAAACGGAAAGATGATGTAGCCAAAGATGCTTTTATGAACCCCTGAAACTTACTTGTTGCGACTTTAATGCCAGACTGGGAAAAGAAAGTATTTTCTGCAATGCAAAAAAGTCGGAAGTTCACTCTCCACGACGAAAGGACTCCAAATGGGTTGAAGCTGATCTATTATGCCGGAACCAAAAATATGTACTAGGTTTTCGTACAAGAAAATACATCAAGCTACGGGGCTGTCAATGGATCGGAAATCGCGCTATCAAGTCGAACATCTTATGTTTGGAGGAAACGCGTCTACAGTCTTTATAGATATGCGAACGCTTTGTGAACATAATAGCGGTTAAAACCATTGTCTAGTGGCAGTACGGATACGCATCCGCCTCTCTACAGCCAGGAACACCCCTAATCAGATACAAGGATAGTTGGATGTTGAAAAACTGCAATGAGCACAGACAGTCAAGCCGTCCGCACTCCTGCTCTCTGAGGCCACTCATCAACATCCCCATTTAAGGCAACTTTGTGACGGCGTTTCAAACTTCGTACAGCTGCAAACGAAACTATTGATTATCGACAAGGACAAAAGGAGCTAGTACAATGAAGATCATCATTTCTGTAGGGCAATGAAGAGGGATATACTACACTACACTTAGAGGGCGCCAGCAATTAAAATAATTAATTTTCTGGAATTTAGATTTTGGTCGAACCAGAAGGGCTGGAACTCTGGCTTTCCGAAGACTATTTGGCTATCACAGTCATCAAGCTCTCTCTGCCACTGATTGCTCGAACGGAGTAGAGGTCTTCATCTTCCTCAGCTTTCGGAGTCGCTGTCTCTTCATTCGACGAACTTCATATGATATTCACTCCCAAAGGCCGACTCATCGGATATTGACATCATCCAGATGATTGACTTGTGGAGTTCTTTGTCAAGTTGTAAAAAGACAGAACTAATGATCAGCGTGTTGAAAACCTCGGCTCCGAGGAGGTCCTCTTAGTTTAGACTGCGCTTTTGGTGTTGTCCGGCGCTAGCTTATACAGGCGCAGAATTTTTGTGGGAATACCAAAGTCTTAAGAATAGCTCGTTACAGTGCAATCGGAAGAGGCAGCTATAAGGAAGACGGGTCCAGGTATCGACTTTCACGCAAATAAGGAAAGTTTCTTTTACATGTAGCTTCAGCAGCTCACGACTAACGGACTTAGCCCGAATGGCCTCTTGGTAGCCAATAATCAGCCCATTTTAGGGGAGCTAAAGTGAGGCGATGATGTTTTTCCATCAAATGGAGATCCTACAGTTTATACTAAGCCATGTCAGCTCAGAAAGACACTCGGAAGGCTAGACATTCCCTGCCGAGGGGTCGCCAGCAGCTCCTAGAGCTGGATTGGACTGTTTGTTATGCAGCCTTCTTATAATCCGAATGTCGCAACCAGTGATTACCAGGGAAAGAATTTTGCTATGAAAATCGATCGGCCCAATTTCTTGCCAATAGGAAAGTAAAGACAAGCGTGTCTATGGGAGAGGCATAAGGGAATTACTTTCAAAATGGCAAACAAATGTTGGAGTAAAACAATGTGCATAGATTGGTTTTACTAGGCCTAATAATTAACATGAAAGGTTTACGTACGGCTTTGTGAGAAGCAAACATAGAAATCAAGTTAAAAGAAAAATAAACAAAAGCTTTTCTTATCACTACCAGTTCGTCTCCATTTCCATGAAGATGAGAATTCATTGAAATATTTTTCAGTCTTTTCCACTGAACGGATTAATCATTACGGCTCTTACGGCGCTTGGATTGTACCATTGCTTGGAGAGGTTGCCTTGTCATTTATTCATGAAACAAAAGTTGTCAGGTTGGGCTGTAAAAACACAACAACAATAAACAAAGCTGGTTCCAATTACTTTGTTCTCCGAATTGTATTAATTTCGTGGAAATTCACATATTATTCACACGCATGTTTGGACAGACAGACAAATCTGGGGAATTATATTTTACATAAATATATGTATATGTACGAGTGGGTATATGCCAGCGTCCTAACAAAAGAACAGGGACTACAATTTAATCTGCACTCAAATTTCATTTCACCTTAACTACACTTAGAGTTTTTATTGCCACATTCTCTTCTTCTTCTTCTTCTGCCTCTTTTTCTTAGATACACACCATCTTATACATAGATACATATAATCATATACAAGCATACCTTTGCGTACTTTTACCCACTATTTTACCTACCTTTTACGTCCTCTACGCGCAGTACGCCTTAAACTTGTTGACCGCACCATCCCAACTGCTGTCATATCCGCCAGCGCCGCCGTGGGCATTTGTTGATGTTCCCCACTTACTGTGTGTGGCTGATTGGCTTGCTTGTTGTTGGCATAATGCTGCGGACTGCAATTGGTGAAGTGATTTGTTGATGAAAATTCGGATTTGGTGGGTGAGCAAGTGGTTGAAGAGGATGCCACCGACTCTAGGCCTCGAGACAATTTCAACATTTCCGCACCGAATTGTTGTAGCGCGGTCATTGTGTTGGCGCTATGCTCCTGTGTACTGTACACATGTGTGTGTTAAGATGGAAATGGAGACGATAAAGAATAAGAAAAAAAATATTAAAATTATTCAAATGAAAATTTGGTAAGTTTAATCAAATATTGACGTTTAGGAGAGCAGTGGGTCTCACTGGGCGAACAAACTCACTTGGCTTCGGCCAGCCACAATTCGTGGGTATCCAGCGTGGATAGCTCGGTATCGGTGGAGTTAGCCGACGGTGCTGATTGTGTCACAGTGCTGGAGTTGGGTCGGAGGAGTTGTCGCCAAGTGCGACGACGTTCTGAAATGAATGCAGAAGAATAGTCGAATTAGTGAGAGTAAAAAAGAGTGGATGGAAAATGCCCATGTGTGTAAATAATATTCATTGCGTGGAGGGCATGTGAGTTTCTAAACTTAACTTCGAAACTCATGCAGAGCTTACAAAAATTGAAAAATATAAGAAATATGGCGCTTTGCTATCGCTGAGCCAATTTTTGGAGGAACTCCTGTGATGGAGGGACCTCAATTTATTCAAAACCGCCTCCGAACGTCCGATGGGTTTTTATGCGGAGCTTTAGTTTCAGGTGAGAAATACACTTAGAGGGTTTGACATTCCCTGTCGAGAGGCGCCAGCAATTAGCATAATTAATTTTCTGGAATTGTGGATTTTGGTCAAACCGGAAGGGCTGGAACGTATTGTTAACCATTTGGCTTTTACCGTCGCCAAGCTCTCTCTCTCCCTTATTCTTCCAACGGATTAGAGGTCTTCTTCTTCCTCAGCTTCCGGATTCGCTACCTCCGATCATCGGTAAATCGGTTGTAATATTCACGTCATAGGCCGACTCATCGGATATTGACCTCATCCAGGCTTCAGCACCATACAGTAGGACACGGAAGATGAGTGACTTGTTGAGTTCTTTGTCAAGTTGTAAAAAGTCAGAACTAACGACACGATAAAGGGTCAGACTGTCGAAAACCTTGGCTCCGGGGGGTCTACCCCGGCTTAGACTGCACTTCTGGTGTTGCTCAGCGCTAGTTTACACAGCCGCGAGGGTAGCTTTTACAGTGCAGTCGGAGGAGGCAGCTATAAAGGAGGTGGGTCCAGGTATCGACGTTCACGCAAATAAGGAAAGTTTCTTTTAACTTCAGCAGCTTACGACTAACGGTCTTAGCCCAAATGGCCTCTAGGTAGCCAACCATCAGCCCTTTTTAGGGGAACTAAAGTGAGGCAAACACCCCAGCGGTTGTGCGTAGGATTCGGAACCGACTCACCATATGAACAACTTACTCAAATGAAAAATCGCACAAGCAAACTTGTTGACGAAACCAAAAATAACTGTATATGGATATAGTTGAACTTCGTGTGCTAACATTTTCGCTCATAAAGGACATAGAGGAAAACTAAAACATTATCGCCATCATTTAAGGCAAATATCCACTCAAGCGAAATTTTATTTATGCTCAATGAACACTCCAAACATACACGTGTGTTTGTACATAACTACATACAAACATACATATATACATACACACATACATACACACATACACATATTAACGAGCCAGGTTCAGTCTTCAATTGTTGGCTTAGTTAATGCCGGAAGTCAGGCAAACTTCTGGCTGCGAGTTCGGCCACTGCTTTATTTGTTTACTACCCAACATATCGTGTTGTTGCTCACTGACTACCAGCATCTGATTTCTGATATCTCACCAGCAGCATTCATCTGTATATACTTGTAAGTAGCTGCCAGCTGCTAATAGTTAGCTACCCACAGTGCAGTAAATAGCCTTAGGTGGACTCAACGCGTCAGATAAACTGCTGGTTGGCAGTTGACAAGTGCTGCTTGCTTACTTACCTGTGTAGAGAAATTGCGCAATTCTGTAGTGTAGGCAGTTGGTAAGTCATACACTGTGAGAAACTTAGCAGCACAACGACAATCTTTACTTCCAAATTTTTGTTGAATTTAAATCAACTTTGGTTTCTTGCTTTGATTGTTTGCTTAGATAATGGGCCGGTGGCATCCTTAGGCCGTACTTTTTTCAAGGCGACCACGGCCGGAATGTTACTGTGAATGGCTAGTGCTACCGTTCGCTGTTTTCATACTTTTTTGTCCAAGATGGAAGAGCTAAACTGAGCTGAGTTTCCAATAGACTTTGTTCTATGCCACACAGCTCGCGAACAAATTTTCTAATCGAGAGGTGAATTCAGTGCGCTTTTTTTCTTGATACTATGTTAATCGGATGTCTAGCCAGACCGACCTCTTCATCGTAAGTAGGAACTTACTAAGCTGCGTATCATATGTTCTGTATACAATTCTCGTGTCCTTTGCCCATGTTTTATGAATACCAGAGCGTTTCTTGTACATTTCTCACTTCCTCGAATGAAACGTCCAGTTCGGAAGTGATACCCTTTATAGCCAACCATGGTCTAAGAAATTGCCTTCGATGCCCATATGCGTTGGGTTATCCATAGAAAATTATCTTTTCTCTACTCCTCCAGCTTTTACCATTCTTCGAGTAGCTTCACAATTCTATCAGCGTAGATCTGCTGTGATTTGTCGGCGGTCAAATGACGTTCAGCGGCTCCTTGATCGGTAAACTTTTTATCATCAAGAGAGTTTCGCAGGGACCGATAAAAATGCTAGTGAGAGGTGCAAGGTCTGGCCTAAATGCCGGGAGTAGCAAAGCTTTCCAACCGAACTCTGTTAGTTTTTCTACTAATCAACAAAGATCTACGTGGTCTGTCATTTGCATGAAGAATCATTTTTTGTTTATAAATTCTTAAGAGCAGAGCTCAGAATAGATCGTTTGTTTAGGCTGTCACAGCTCCTTATGGACAACTCACTTCTAATCTTAGCATTCAGGTTTTGCCAAGGTGCGCTTCTTTCTTTTCATAACCTCATATTTAATACAGTTTTCATCGAATTTGTGACTCCGGCAATACAATTTTTTTGCCTCCGTTGTCTCCAGCCGGTCTTACTCCACCGTTTGCAGAAATTCCCCGGCCTGTGGCCGATCAGAGTGAGGTGCATTTTTGACATCCAAATTTCAGAATCGGAATCGAGTAAAGCACTCTTCGGTTCGGCCAGAATTTTTGCCAAACCACACGCTTTTTTCGACAGGTTTTTGCCGTGACATTTTGGTTCACATTCTCGATTACGTAGTATGTATAACAATGGTAATCTTCTTTAGATTTCGCTCAGAGGGTTGTAATTATTTAGCTTATAACCTGAATTTAAGTTCATTTCATGAATGACCCAAGCCTTGATTTGCCGACGGATTTTTTTTTCTCTGTGCGAGCGTTGAGTAAAATTGTGTTGCACTTTCCCCCAGAACTAGTACATTCTACCTTATCAACGGAGACATTACCGTTACATAATATAAATATATTGTCGACCAAATAGCAAAAGGTTCAAAAGTCAGCCAACTAGACCAAATGTTAGCAAATTATATGCATGTCAAGCAGATAAGTACAGACGGAGTCAAATTCAAGAGCGATTCGCAGTAGAATTTTTTTTACCAAAAAAAAAAAAAAAAANTTGTATAAAATGTATGGGAATTTATCTATTTGCATCGCAGGAAAAAAATATTATTTTAGAAAATGCTGCCTGCAAACTATTTACATCAGGTAGTTGTATGAACTAAAGCCTGTGCAGTCCAGCAGTAGCAGCCGTCAGCTTTACTGTTGGCAACTCTGAGTTACTAATACGCATCTAGATTGACATTGCAATGCAGGATTATGTCAGTAATGGAATTGCCTGTGTTATGAAAAGCGCAGGTAGAAAATGAAAGAGAGTATAGAGCAATGCAAAAGTAGGATGGGCGGAGAGTATGAGAGGGCAGAGAGTCAATACTGCTTTTTGTTATTTGCAGTAAAATGTAGGAAAGAAGTGTTGGCATTGAATGCATCAAAGTGAAGTTAAATTTAAAATTCGTACTAGATCCATATTTACTAAAATTATTTATATTTCTCAACTTCTAAGAAAACCCTTAAAGCCTTCCCTCTCTTCCAGACTTCCTCTATTTCTCTTTCTTTACAGTAGCCTCGAAAGAGCTGAGCCACCGCAGCTTACGGTTTTGATAATACCAAAAAATTCTACTACAATGGGACCCCATGAGAAGAGCGAATAGCAAATGGCTAGCCATTTTTCGAGGAGAAGCGAACAAAGTTTATACTTTTCTTCCACTGGACCTACATTAGCATCACGACCGGTGTAATAACATTATACTGTAAGAGTAATGCTCGAAAATGCGACTCACGGATGCTGTCAAGATCGGAGCCTTCTCATGTAAGACCCAAAAAGGTCATACATACTCTAATATATGTTGCATTCATGGAGAGAAAACTTCTCCAGTCTGCGAGTTGACAGTTTAAGTAAATCACCCGTAGCGAGCGAACATTTTTCTCCAAACGGTGATGATGAAACATGCGCTCTACAACCACACTATTATGAAGGCTGAATTGAAATATCTCGGTTGAGGAACAACAAAGTGCCTAAAGCCGTTGATTTGTCTGTTGATCTATTCATCTGTTTTGGCGAATAACTCACAAAGCATTTTGGCGAAATGCAGTCTGACGAGCGAAAGCCTAACGGCTAGAACCTGAGAGCACACTCAAAGCTTTCCATTTTCCCTTTCCATTGGTTGAGACTAATTATTTTATTGCATATAAGATGATTAAAAAAAACTGATAAGATTCTTGCAGTCTGGCTTTAAGCAAATTTATAATTACCCAGATATTCAGCAGGCGCCAAATGTAGAAAAATATTGACCTTTAGCAGTCCTCGGCTGTACAAAAAATTACTCTGTCTTTATGGCGAATTTGGTATACCCATGGAACTAATAAAACTGTGTAAACCGAAGTAGGCCATTACTAACGGCTCCTTTGAAATCGGAAAGAACCTCCCCAAGCAGTTTGATGATAAACCAAGTTTCATGATGTTTAACTGCTCATTCAGTCCAACATCCAGAATTAAAGAAACGGAATTTTTCTATTTGCGGTCGCTCCTCGGTAGGGAATGTCAAGCCCTCCATGTATATTCATGACATAGAATAAGAGCTCCTCATAAAAATCCATCGGCCATTCCGAGGCGGCTTAGCATAAACTGCAGGTCTCTCTATTTGTTGCAAAAACTTCACACGTGCCACAGCATGGAGCGGGTAGAAATCGCCAATTATATTTAACTCAGCCAGCCACAGAACTCGGCGAAACGACTGGGAAAAACATCCAGCTAGAGGACAGAAAACAGCATACTTATGTAATAACAAATCTTTGCGTACCACACCTACTGAGGGCATGAATAATCTATTAGACCTGTTCCATACATTGACATTACGGGGTCGCATAGTCTAGCTTGTGTTGCTTTAAGACCACAAAAGGTGACTGAATGGCGACAGATAAATCACGATGGTCATATTAATATCTTAAGAAGCTTTCGCCTATTAGTAAGGTCGAACTACTGCCTAACTTACAGTGCATGGGTTGGTTGCTTTAGCCTACTCCAGAGAGCTTGGTATTAGCAAAGCCTTTCGTTTATTAGATTCTAACAGCATTTTCCAAACGGTGCTGGCAATATAAAGGGTGATTTTTTAGCTATTATCTCTTTTGCAACACTGGTTTAACCAGCTGACGCCTTTTCGTTTCGTCTTTTGTATCTTTGTCAAACATCTTCAGTTTGGTCTATAATTTAACCATGAAACGTCTTACAACTGAACAACCCCTGGAAATTATGAAATGCGTCCTCTGCTAAGAAAGTTCAACAAAAGAAAATAATTGTGTTCAGAGAGGTAGCTCTTTTTTGGCTTGATGGATGGGTAAATAAGCAGAATTGTCCAATTTGGAGTGAAAATCAGCTAGAGGCATTTTGAGAGCTACTAATACAACCAGAAAAAGTCAAAGTTTGGTGCGGTTTATAGGCTGGTGGCATCATTAGACCTCACTTCTTCAAAGATGATGCGAATCATAACGTAACTGTGAAGGGTGAGCACTACCATGAGATGATATCAAATTTTGTTTGCCCAAAATGCAAGAGCTTGACTTGACTTGGCATGTGGTTTCAACAAGACGGTGCCACGTGTCACACATCACGCGTAACAATGGACTTATTGAGTTCGGTACACTTCAATTGGCCGCCTAGACTGTGCGTTTTAACGCCTTTAGACTATTTTTTGTGTGGCTATGTTATATCCAATGTCTAAACAGACAAGCCCGCCTCAATTGACGCATTGGAGGATAACATTGAAGCATTTATTCATGAGACACCGGCCGAATTGTCTTTCCAACATGCCGAAATTGGACTAAGCGGATGGACTATTTGAGACGCAGTCACGGTCAACACTTGCAAGAAATAATCTTCAAACATTAAATAGCTTACTGGGAATAAGTCATATCTCCGCAACTTCTCGGATAATTACGTAGCGTTAGAGCCCTGGAATCTGTAATAATAAAATTCCAAACGGTAAATAAAAATTATATGCATGTATGTATGTGTGAGGGGAGCTCAATGAGCCTGTTCTATGTTTTAGGTACAGCCACTTGCGGGCAAGTCCTCAACCTCCCCTTTCAACCAACCAACCAACCGACCAACCAGTAATATAAATATACTCATATCTGCCTGTATATACCTCATATTGTTTAATATTTTATATTTAAATTCTATTTCGTTTTTATTTGTTTATTGCTCCTTAGATTGCATTAAATTTATTACAGAGTTTTCGCTTACCAAATGCGCTGCTTTGTCCTAGCCAAGTGCTCGCCCAGCCCGGCTGTTGTGGCGTACTCGTTCCACCAAGATTATGACTTTTCTTTGCCAAAAGGCGCAATGTCAGCCAATATGTGATTAGCATAACAGATAACGGTATGTAGAAGCAAATAATTGAGCCGATGAACTTGTAAATAGGATCCGGTATCTGACATGTACCATTAATTAGCACCGACGAATGATTCTAGGAAAAGAGAAGGTGAAAAGATTGAATTTAAATTTAAATGCATAAAATATCAGATATTCACAACTGATAGCTTAGAGGATATAATATCATCACGAAAGTGTTGGAAATCCCCATACTAGCGGCTCTCAAAACCAACTGTGGCCCATTACGAACCACTTCCCCAGTTCGTGATTAGAGTCTTGCAGACAGGTCTACAGCAGCGAAGGCGTGGTTCGACTCAGAGGCTACTAAACCTAGGTTGGCTCGAGCATGCGATGTTTCGCTGACCTTGAGGCGTTCGACTTTATTTCTAGCTGCGGTTACATTTGAATCTCCGACGTTAGGTGGCTTCTCTTCCGCATAATTGCTTCACGGGAGTACTGGAGTGGTTGGAGCCGCTAGAGGCAGGTAACACTAAATTTTTCACATTGTAAGAGGTACGAAGCCTGACCCAAGAATTTCTGAACGAGTCTTCTTTCGATAAATATCAATTAACGCAGGGTTTAGCCTTTCACTTCTATATAATGTTTTACGGACGAAGTTAGCGCTGGTCCCACAGATCCAATTGGGAGTTTCCGAAAAACGATAACCAAGGGGCTTTACTGCCATTTACGGTCAGCTGCTGTCTATCATCATTAAAATGAAACGTGGAAGGACGGCCAGATAAGCTATTGAAATTCTCTAAGGGAACCTTGGAAGCTTGTAATATCGCATCTCCCCCTTTAAGGCTGAGACTAATGCAAATACTAAACGGTGAACTAAATAAGAAATAATTTAGAGAAATACAAGTGGATGCCGTTCATCCCCCCTCCCTCTTTTTTCCAATAGTGTCAAGGTCAACCTCTTCCTCAACTTCCATCAGCGAGTACTGAATGGAATAGTTTTAAAGTGGGAGTGCATTTATCTATTCGGACAGCTTAACAGATATTAATCAGCTTAGTCGTCGTCTCTTCTTTCACTGAACTTTATTGGTATTGAGCGGATCCTAGAGGCTTTTCCTGGCCCTCTGTCACTCAGTTGCAGCCTACTAAGCTGTATAAGTTTTTCGGGATACCACATTCATACAAAGCCGCATAGAGGCAGCCCTTTTCCATGCTATCGAAGACCGTCTGTTCAATGCAGATTGTTCAAGTCTGGAGCGAGATCGTCGAAGTTGGACTTTGACGTTTCACAATGTGTGCGGTGATATGACGTTGATTACGACAAGGAGGAGACTTATACTAAGGAAAGCACCCTATTGGGAAAGAAGGAAATAACTTCTTTGCTCACAGGTGTGTTGTTGATGTTTAGTGCTCTTTCAGAATTTATATTTTGGGACAACGTTCATCTCCATCGTAGGAGTGTGGACGCAAGTAAGCGATATGTTATTGTATGTAGATTATGGCACAATGTTTATCCAGAGTAGTAAACAATAGTACTCTACGAAAGGATTGTCTCACCACGAATAAGAAGCTCAACACGATATCTTCACTCCTTTAGTATACTCGTATGTCAATCGTTTCTTAAAGTGTCATCATACTCCTTTGCCGTACATCCGTGGCCGTATTAACATTTTCATTAAAAAAATTGAAAAAAAAAACATTTATACAGTGAGCCTCTTGCTTCAAGATCGATGAACCCCCATAGTCATACTACTGGTGCACGGACGCTACATTAAGACTTCAGTGAAGCCTCAAACTGTATTTGTCAGTGAGACTACACTTAGATTCCCTATCTTATAAGCGTTAACCAAGGCCTTACACCCGCCTTACAACCAGGTTTTCCGTGTGGTGGGTCTCAGGCACAACGTACAACCACAGAGGGTTCACCTTCGTACTTCAGCGCACCTTCAAACGTTGGCTACTCGAAGGATATTTGTGCTGCTTTAACTTTAAAAAAATAATAGTTTTTTTTTTGCTACTCGCAGGGAATGAAAGAACGAATGACAGTCTGAAAAGTTCTCCACTGGCTTGGATTTCTAGAAAAGAACCCATTATGCCAATGAAATTGCACAAGGCAAAGAAAACATTGCTACGCTTACATTTTGCTTTCCTTTCTTGTCCGCGATTTGATATTATCACTTACCTGTGAGTACATCAGACACAATGGTATGCTCGTCGAAAACGACAGACACCAGACAATGCCAATTTTCAAAAATACACGTTTATTGGTCTTATTCCGGCCGAAGCGCATTGGAAAGGCCAGTGATAAGAAGCGATCGACGGAGATGGTACATAGATGCATTATACTGGCCGTACAAAAGAGCACATCCAGACAAATCCAAACGAGGCACCACAACGAGCTCAACGGAAAGTAGCCTACAAAGAGAGAAGAGTAAAAAAAAAAAACACAAAATTAATAACCATAAATAATAGCGAAGAAAACAAGTAAAATTTAATGAGTTGGAGAACATGTAAATTTACATATATCCTATGCACAAATATTTATTTATTGCTACAGAAGTGTGCACGCTCAAGTGTGTGGCGAATGATATACAATAAATCATGGACTGTCGGGAGCGAATTCACGTTGACGATGAAATATTTATTTGTACGCATGTGAAAAGGCATGAAATGGAAAAATATCAAAATAAAAAGTCATGCGGCGAGATATGTATGTATTCGTATATACATACAATAGATAAATAGGAGCATATACATATATACAGGGTTGTTCATTTTGAGGTATCGAACCGAATGAGGTAATTTTCGACCACTTTTTGGCGCTTATTGGCCGGTCTCTTAGCTATAACCTAACGAATGTTGGCTTTCAAGGGCCTAGGTGTCAACACGGTCTTTTTCGCTCGTGTTGGGTGGCATATGGTACCCTCTTAAAGAATGCGGCTCTCATAAGACTCTTACGCTACGTTTGACAGGGACATTCTCGTCGTTATCATTTTCAAAGAAATGAGGTCCAATCACATCTCCAGACTAAAGAGTACACCAGACAGTAAGTTTTTTCTTTGGGTGAAATGAACTCTCTTTTCAATTAATTAAGCATTCTCAGAGCCCTAAATGTGCAAATTTTTTCTATCAACGTTTTTTCTTCTTCTTCTGTTCTACTTTATTGGTGTAGACACCGCTTATTCGGTTCTTCTATTGACTATTTTTGCGATAGTTGCTCTCTACCTGATCCTTCCAACGGATTGGAGTCCTCTTTCTCTAGTTACTGCAACGGGTACTGCATCGAATAAATTCAAAGCTGGAGCGCTTTGATTTATACGGAGGATTTGACCTAGTCAGCGTAGCTGCTGTCTCTCTATTCGCTGGACTTTCCTATCGAAGACCCACTGCTCTCTGAGAGCACTCATCAGCAACTTGGTATACGGGAACTGTGAAACGGCATCTCAAACTACCTACGTACCGCCTCTACGGAAACAATTGGTTTTCGTCAGTGATAGAAAAAAAGCTAGTTCGAAGAGGAATGTCGAGCTGCAGTGGAGAGAAAGCAGACTGCAACTCTGCCATCGACCACAGCGGTATCGTCCACAAGTACGGAGTGGGAAAGATATCGAGAGCTGAAGAGAGAAGCAAGACGCATTTGCAGACAAGAAAAGAAAGAGGCCGATATTCTTGAGATCCGGAGCAAACTTTTGTAGGACCCAGAGGGCTAGACCACCCCTGACGGGGTGCCTGAATTTATGGAGGAAACACTTCTCCAGCTTGCTGAATGGCTGTGAAAATGAAACACCCGGAGATGGTGAACCCGAAATCCCAATGGACGACAATGGATGAGAGGTTTCGCTACCTGATCATGTCGAAGTTCGAATAGCGATTGCTAGCTTGAAAACCAACAAAGCAGCGGAAGCTGACGGCCTGCCGGCAGAACTATTCAAACATGGCGGCGAAGAGTTGACAAGGTGCATGCATTAACTTGTTTGCAAAATATGGTCCGATTAAAGCATGCCCAGCGATTAGAACCTAAGAGTACTCTATCCAATCCACAAAAAGAGCGATCCCACAGTCAACGCTTAGACCGATGATATTGACATTATCGGCCTCAACAACTGCGCTGTTAGTTCTGTTTTCTCCTGGCTTGATAAAGTAGCGAAGCGAATGGGTCTGGAAGTGATTGAGGGCAAAATGAAAAACCCTGTTGTCACTGTTGGCAGTCATAACTTTGAAGTCGTAGATAATTTAGTCTACCTAGGAACCAGCATTAACCCCAACAATAATGCCAGCCATGAAATCCAACGCAGAATCACTCTTGCCAACGAATGTTGCTTTGGACTGAGGTAGGCAATTGAAAAGTAAAGTCCTCTCTCGGCGAACAAAAACCAAACTCTGCAAATCGCTCGTCATACCAGACGATAGAAAAGTTTAGCGAACGATTTATGGTCCTTTGCGCATTGGAAGCGGCGAATACTGCAGACGATGGAACGATCAGCTGTACAAGCTATGTGATGATACTGACATAGTTCAGTGAATGAAGAGACAGTGGCTACGCTGGCTAGGTCATGTCGTCCGAACGGATGAAAGCACTCCAGCTTTGAAAGTATTCGATGCAGTACCCGCTGATGGAAATAGAGGAAGAGGAGGATCTCTACTCCGTTGAAAGCACAAGGTGGATAGTGTTCTGGCCACACTTGGTATTTCCAATTGGCGCCAAACAGGCTATTATCGCTTAAGGGGTGCCAACGCTAATAAAGAAGAAGAAGAAATTAATTTTTCATAACTTTTGGATGTAGGTGGCACCGAGATATGAACCCGAGCTTTCCAAATGTCAGTAGGCAATACTAACCTCTCGGCTACCGCTGCCGCCATTAACAGCAGCGAAATTTGAGGCCTTACAATATCTTTAGGCGATCCGATCTCTTCAAATTTTCTTAATGGCTTACCAATTACTTGAGTAGATTATATGGACCCTAAGATCCGTTGCGCGATCCACTTTCATAAATGACTGACTTTTGACCAAAAATAAAATTAAAGGTTTTGCATTCAATTTCGATAGATATTAAAATAAAGCTCTGTACTTTTGAAAACTCAAAATGTGTAACCCTATATTTTGTATATACGCATATGCACCATCGGCAAGGTCGCGCCACACTCATCAAAGCAACTCGAAAATAGCAAATTATATCAAAAATATCTAATTTCCTTTCGACTGTATACGAGTGTAAGTGTATGTATATAGCTCATACTACCAGCGCTAGTTGTTAACACATACAAATAAATCGTCTCTGTGTCTCTCTGTGCATATGCATGTGTGTATGTGGCCCTTTGTTTGCCTTTAACGGGGTCACATTCAATATTTTCCTACTTAAATTTCGCAACAATAAAGTTTATCAATTTGCAGCATTGATCATTTTCACACACGAATACACACACACGCACATATATATATATATATATATATATATATAAGGATGTAAAAGAAATAATAGAAAACTGAAAATGCGAAATAACATTTCCACCGATATATATATATATGTATGTACAAATGCACAGTAATGTGCGATAAACTGTGTGTGAAGGCAATATCAATGGCGAGCTAGCTGTGCGCCCCTGGAAAAAGGTAAAACAAGGAAAATAGAAAAATTATAATAACAACATTTTCTGCAGTTTGCAAACCCACACAGTCGGACCAAACAACAGTTTTTTTGCACGTACATACGTACATGCATACATACATCCATATGTGGTATGTTCTGCCAGTATTATGTTACTCATACGCCCTGTTGTTTGGTTGACTGACTGGCCGCATGTTTTGTTGTTCGTGTTTGTGTTTATTTGTTTATTTGCTTTTGAGTTTTTGTTTTCTTGTAGTCATTGTCGGTATTTCATGTCATTGTAGCAGTCGAAAACTATAACATGTACACATAAATATATTTATTTTGTGCGAATTTATGGCGGTACCCTGGGGAAAGGTGTGAGATTTTGCTTATTTTTAAAAGAGTCCGGTATTTTTGTTTTTCGATGCATCTATTACTCCATTATAGCTGTAATGGGGTGTTGTTTTTGTGCTGGATACGCACTCACAAACTCAGAGCTATATTAAATTCTTACTCTTTGTCGTACACCCTGGAAACGTGAGCCACCTTTTTGCGGGTTGCCGTAACCAAACCGTGTGAAGCTAAAACACTGCTAAAAATCGAAAATCTTTCCGCAGTTTGGCATGCCTGTCCTAGGAGGTGACTAAAATGACATCACCGTGATCTTGAAAATGCGATGGACGTTATACGTATGGAAGAAGATTGGTCCTTGTTACTTTTATTACAGCGACCATATGAAGGAGTACAAGGTTATTGTTGAATTTGTGGTAGAAGAGAAAGACTCAAATATCGCAGGCTATGGTTCATCCCGTTGGGAGACGGCCTAGCCACAACCCGTATAAAAATGAAGATCCTTACCACATCCTTGATTTGTGTTGACGATCCATTGAAAGAAGCGGAAGTTAGCCACAAAAATACTTTCCACGCTGATGAACGCTGACTTCGCCATGGTATGCAAACCGAGCTTGGCGATTTTGGCGGCAGATCGGTCTAATAAGTTATCTTTGGTGTCCCAGTTAGAAATTCAAGTTGATCAGGTTGGAATACCTGAATCTGGTATTTGCCTTCCTGACTCCTGAGAGCGCCCATTGGCCCCAAATCAATAACGATATTTTCAGCTCTCAACGCACAGTTGGCAGTGAATTTATTAGTTTTCGACAAAGTCAAAAGAGGGGTCGTAAGATGGATATAGTGGACATAAAAATGACCTGCGTTGTATGACGTAGAGCAAGAGTGCAACAATATACATTAGCAGACAGTAATAGCGAGCGTTCCATGTGAGAGGATGGCGTGCAGAGGTTTTTGCTCGAAGTTATCATGAAAAAACGTTGATACATAGAAGAACGTTACAAGACAGCAGCTCATGTATACAAACCTAAAATCAGTGGGTTTTCAGACCATTTTTAGAAACATGCTTGGTGATGATAAATCCCAATTTCTTATTGATGGCATTGATTTATGTAGAAAGACGTTCCATTAACTGACTGATAAAGTCCGTACAGCTTTTGGGATTAACTGAATGTACTGAGGAACCCTCTCTCCTTCCTTTATTATAAGCCTAAATCTCACCGACACTGATTCCATTTTCTATAGGAGTGCACGCCAATGATATTGACATCATTGGCCTCAACAAAAGTGCCCTTTGTTCTGCTTTCCCTAAACTGGATAAGGAATCGAAGCGAATGGATTTAGTAGTGAACGAAGACATTCGCCACTCGGCACTCACATCACTGTTGACGGTCATTACTTTGAAGTCGTAGATAAGAATTGGGAACAACGAATAACCCAGCTGGTAAGACATGAGGCACAGATAGATAAGAGTACTCT